TTTGCGTTAAACTACCCAGGACAATTTGACTATGTTAATGCGTTGTCCAAGTATAGACCTAAAACAACACCTCCCATAGTCAACGTTAATCAACGGGAATTCTTCAAAACCCCAAGGTAATCCGCTACAAAAACACAAATCCCCAGACCAGGGGGATGAGGGATCCTGGGGAGATATTAAAAACCAAGCGGCCTAGATTATCCTCCCTTGATTCCTCCACGTTCCCCTCAGGCACGGGGGGGGGGGGGGGGCGGGGGGCTGCAGGGGGAAAGCGAGTGCATTGAGGGATGCTACGGTTTCTCCCCCAAAGGTTCCCATGCCGGGAGCTCAGTCCCCAGTGCACCAGCACCCAGGGGTGGTACCTTTAAGAAGTGGGGCACACTGGGAGGTGATGAGATTACTGGGAGCATCAGCTTCAAAAGGGGTCCATACCCATCTCTTAGGAGAGGGTTCGGTCTCACAGGACGGGATTAGCAGCTTGGTAGAGGCTAGGATTTCCCTGGCTCACCCTCTCGCTTCTCTCTCTCCCCCTGCCTCTGCCCTGCCTCCTGCTAACAGCCACGAGGCCCTCACCAGAAGCCAAGACCAGTGCTATCTATGCTCCTGAACCTCTCAGGCATTTCGTCATAGCAACATCAACCAGCTGAGACAGAGGAGCTGTCCCTATGGGGGTGGGATAGGCCCTAAGGAGACTTGTTGGAAAATCTGACAGCCCCACAGCCAGGGGGCAGCAGGGCTACAGCAAGCCTGGGGACAAGCTACCAACTTTGCCATGTGGCGCCTAAAGAACTTGCCGTCACCAAGCCCCCAAGTTCGACACCCATCACTCTCCAGTGCCCCACCTGACTGAATGCCACGGCTCATTCTGCTACCTCCAAGGTCACAGGGAGAATTTTCATCCTAGAGAAGGCTTAAAGGACTGTCAGGGTACAGTTACCAATTCCAAGTGCCTGGTGCAGGAGGCAGGAGACAGAGTGGTGCCCAGGGGGCACGGAGGGGGCCACAGGCCTGGTCTCCCTTGCTCCGCTCTGCCGCAGGGCCCAGGGACCCCGGGCTGCACAGGGCTGAAAGGAGGCTACAGGCTAAGCTGGTGAACCCGAAAGGACGCGTCTTGGGTCACGGGGGTAAAGCAGGAGGTTCTGTCTTGCAGGGGTCCTCCGTTACCCCACTGACAATGAAGGGGGGACGGACGGGACCACCCTCAGCGTCCTCCCAGCTCAAAGTGCTGTGGTCCTATAACCAAATCAGGCCTCAAGAGCCCTGGGCGCCGGGCACGCTCACGGACAGAGTCCCCCGCCCTCACCCCATCACACTCACTCCAGGGAGCCACATAAATAATACCACAGCTCGCACGAAACTCGCAGGAGCCGCCTGAGGCGCAGCCCACCACTGGCCATGATGTTGGGTTTGGGAGTGAAATGAAACACGGATTAATTTCAGTTCCGCAGCTTTCTTTGCACATTTCATAGGCGATCAGTTCGCTTCCAGCTGTCAAACATTTTCATTGGCCCTTGATGAAAGCTGGTTGGCCCGAGGACTGCACCCACGTTCCCAGTGCTGTGACCTCACAGAGCCCAGCGGCAAGTCTGCGGATACCCCACGGCGAACATGTGCAACAAGGCAGGGGCTGGAGCTGCCCCTTCATTTGCACTCTCCTCCCAGACCACTCCAGCCCCTAAGGACCCCTCTCCCACCAGTCTCAGAGCACTCATCACCCACGATAGCTCTCTGGCAATGACAATGCATTCTTGTGCCACCCACCCCGTGTGGCCACTATGCTGCGGTCTGCAGCTCTACCCTCACCATGTCACAAATCCACATGTTTGTCTGCTTCGCCTTCCTCTGCCAACCTACACACTCTCACTACTTTGCATCCCCTCTGGACCCAGTGAATCAAGAGAACCGAAGCCACAGGCGCCAGGGCTGTGCCGATGGGGGAGGGAGGGGCTGGAAGGCCCTGGTCCCCGCCTACCCTCCATGCCATCCTCTCGCTGTGTGTTGAAGTTGTCGTAGGAATCCCAGCGGATGAGAGGGTCGGAGGTGTTGTAGTCCACAGACACGCTGGGCCCATTCTCCAGATGCTCCATGCCTGGGGGGAGGGGAGGGGTGCAGGGTGGGCAGAAGAGGGGCAAGAAGTCAGCAGCTGGAACTCGGAGCAAGCCCACAGCCCCGCCCCATGCCCAGGGATGCTCCCCCAGGAAGTCTCCTTCTCCCGTGTCGGGCAGGTGGGACCAGGGGCTGAAGCTGGATGGAGAACCCAGGGGTGTGGCTTCCTGCATTCTTGATGGGGCTCATACAAGGTCATGGGGGGTCAGTCGGGACACATGCTGAAGGGTGGCAATGCACAGTCCACCCTGGAGGACACTGGGAGGGCTCCCTGACTGGGGGGTCTGTCCTCCTCTCCTCTGCATCCCTGGAGCCCCTGGGATGGTTCCAGGAGACAGAATCTGTGCCGGAGCCAGTACAAGGAGGGTTGGGGGGGTGAGGCAGGCTCCTAATGGCTGCAAGGGGTCAGGATGTCTGGACAGCACAACCTCAATGGTAAGGTCACCCTGGGCACACCCTGTCTTGCACCCCAAAATGCTCTCCATGCAAGGTGGGCACCCCAGGAATGCCAAGCAGGCAGAGTGTGCCACCTTCCTGGTCTGCCCAGACTCCCTGCACAGGGAGCCCACTCCATCTCCCACAGCCTGCACGCACGGACAACTGGTCTCCACACACAGGCTGCCTGAAGGCTATTATTAAATGGCCTTTGGGTTACAACACCTCAGTTCTCAAAAATACTCATCCAGGTCCCTACAGCGCCCGTGAGTGGCCCCCAGCCCCTTCCTCCACCTACCATGACCCTCTTGGTCTCAGAATAGAACAGGATGATGACCTAAGGCAACCAGAACTGTTTATCCAACCCACAGCCTCCCTGTCTGCTTCTCTTATCCAAAGATTAAGTCACTGGTTCACGTTTAGCTGGGGGTCCACTCTGACACCCAGATCCTTTAGGGCTGGCCTTCCTGCCCAACATGGGCTACTCTACTCTTGCAGGACAGACCAGGGGAGGATGGACAGAAGCAGTGTGAGAACAGATCCTAACTCAGTGTGTACCTTGAATCTTCTCTGGCCCATAAGAAAATACAAACTCCACTTTGCCATAATCTGGAAACCGATCATCTGAAAAAACACAAGGGAAATAAAAATGGGCAATGAATTCCCAAAAAAACACCCGATACAGTTTTTAGACAACAGTATGTGCAGACCTGTTTAATAATATAATAGTTAATTTACAGCTACATTAATAGACACAGGCACGAAATCACAGGTGTACAATGAAATTGAATCTGGCCCTGCCTGCAGTAACCACTTCAAACCATCTCTTCGCTTTGTCCCACTGGCCACTTAGCGCCAAGTCTCTTCAGGTAGCCTCAAAGTGTCTTTTCTAGATATCAATCTCCCTTGGTGCACCACCACGAAGACGAGTAACTTGTCTCACTTATACTATTTCCACCTTCTTTCTTAAATCTGGTTGGGTTGCTATTTCTATTTCTTCTGTTGACTATCTTTGAAATTGTAAGTACTACTGAGAAGTCTCTATTTATCAATCTTTCCATTTTCGATGGTGTCTCCTGACTCCCGCCACATACAAAGCGGAAATCTGCGATCCTCCCTCCCTCCACCTCTCCCAGTCCCGTTATTTGTTTTGTTGGCTCTACTCTTATCTTTCCCTTAAGACCGATAACATTCACAGTCTGTTCTGCAATTACAGCATCGTCTTCCGTTTGCTCTCCTAGCTCCAGTGCTAGGAGGACTCATCACAGAAGCATCCTTGTCCTGCACTGAGTCCTGCCAGACCCCACGGAGGGGATCCAGCCCCTCCTCCGAGGCCTGGCCCTACTCTATGCCTCTCTGTCTGAGCTCAGTCTGGGCACAGATCGCTATCCACTGCCTGTGGGAAGAGGAGTTACAGCAAGGACGGTGTCTGCTCTGTGGGACACTCATCATGGCTGTGCACATGTCCGTCACTTCATAGAATCACATCTGTGTGTCTCCTCCATGACGCTGCGCTCCCTGCAGCTGGGACATGACTTCCTCCCCTTGTATCCAGGGTATGCCTGGTACATACGGACACACAGTGAGGAGTGGCGGAGGGAGCGAGTGGGTTAATGGATGGGTGGATGGATGAATGGGTAGGTAGGAGTGTGGGTGGAAGAATGGGTGGATGAGTGGAAGGGATAGGTGGATAGACGAATTGATGGGTAGATAGATGGGTAGATGGATAAATGGGTGTGTGGATGAGTGGAAGGATGGATGGATGAGTGACGGATGGATGGGTGGATGGATGGATGGGTGGGTGGATGGATGGACAGATGACTGGAAGGGTGGGTAGGTGTATGGATGGATGAATGGGAGGATGGATGGATGGATGAGTCGGGGGATAAGTGGACAGACAAACTGATGGGTAGATGGATCGGTAGATAGATAAATGGGTGGGTGGATGAGTGGAAGGAGAGATGAATGGATGGATGATGGTGCACATGGATGGATGGATGTAAGGATGATTGGATGGATGGATTGATGGTTGATTTGTGGATGGACGGATGGATATATGGAAGGATGATTGTGCGTGTGGATGGATGGATGGATAGAGAGATGGGTGGGTGGATGGGTAGGGTAGGTATGTGGGTGAATGGATGGATGTGTATATCTGCATGACCCAAGCTTCAATGTGATATAGATAAAACCTCAACTAGATAAAGGAAGCAAAAGCCCCTCCCTGACCACCCCGCCTCCCTCCCTGCTGTCACAGCCGTCTCCTGCTCTCCACCCTGGGAGAGAATCGTCCCTGCCAGCTCTGCCTCCCTGCTCCAGAACATCGCTGTGCTCACCAAGGCAGACACCGTGCCGTGCGTTCCATTGTTCCCCAGCACTCAACACTGAGCCTTACACAAAACGAGCGCCCAGGGGCTGTTGGACAAAATGACTGCGAGACAGCAGGACCCGCGGGACAGATGGGGAAAACCAGGAGGAGACACAGAGAAAGCAGCAGGAGAGGGTGATGGCCCAGGGACTGGGCAGCCATTTATCTCCACTTGACTTGACAACTTGCATTCCAGACCATGCCCCTCGGAACTCTCTCCCCGTGCTCTGCCACTGTCACCTAGAGTACACCTGAGCCCTGGCAGACCACACAGCTCGGGAAGGGCGGGCCCCACAGCCACCACGGCCCCTTCAGCTGGGCTCTGCCCCGCCAGCCCCACCTTTGAAGGCGTCGTCGAGGTCCTCCTTGCCAAAGACAACCCCCAGGTCGTGGATTGCGCAGGTGTGGAACTGCACCCGGAAGATGACGTCCCGGGCTGGGCTGCGGAACTTCTTGTGGTAGCACTTGAGCTGGTAGGAGGCGGGGGAGGCAGTCAGGGGCCCGGGGTTCACCCCAGACCCAGCTGGGGAAAAGTCACCAACACCCAGGGATCTCTGGGGAAATTTCTAGAAGAGCAGAGAGCTGGAGGCCAGCCTTGACCTGTGGGGACAAAACTGTCCTCCCGGGGGGTTTCCCCACCTAGGTCGGAAGCAGGGATCTCATGCAGCAGGCATGACTGAGGCTAGGACCACAGGAGTCCTGAGCAGCCAGCAGAAGCCAGGAGGGGGCAGCATTTCCAGAACAGGAAAGAGGCCCAGGGAGGGGACGTCCAACTCCAGCGCAGGGGAGTAGACAAGCACTGTTTGAGCTGCAAGGTCTTGCAGGTCTGGCCGCCTGCGGGGAGCAGCTGTGCTGGCCTAGGGGCAGGAGGGGAGCAGGAAGAGAGGGGCAGCAGCAGGGCTGGAGACAGAGGGCCACACTCACCAAGATGTCTCCCTTCAACAGCAGCCCTGGCTCGATGGTGATGCAGATGCTGTTCTGGCTGTCTCCCGGGATGTTGCTAAGGGAGAGAATTGGGCAGAGAAGAGAGGGCTGCTGGAAGTGGGCCGGGGCAGCAGAGGGGGTAAGGGGGAGGGGGTAAGGGGGAGGGCCCTCCCCTCCCTGCTGCCCCCTGTTGCAGGGCCACTGGGAAACCTCACCACCTTCTGCCCCTCACCCCTGTCCCAGTTCTTGGCCCTGGCCCTTGGCCACCCTGGGCCCTCTGTCCCACGAACACTTACTAGATGCCAGACGTGTAAACGGGTTGCATGGCCTGGTAGATGCGGAGAAACGGCCGACATCCTGTCGGGGAGGGGTGGAGTGAGCAGAGACAGCAGGAATGGTGGCAAGAGGAGGGAGAGAGGGGAAGGGGGATGGAGGGGAGGCAGAGAGAGAGAGAGGAAGGGAGGAGAGGCAGGAAGGGGAAAGGGGAAGAAGAACAGGGAAGAAATACTTTCACTTGTAAGGCCTTTTGTGCTGACCAGAACTTGCCACGCCAACACCACGTGCCAGCAGGCCCTGCAAGCAGGCACCCGTTTTGCAAACGGACAAAGAGTTCAGGAGACACCGAAGTTCAGGCCCCAGTGCCTGCCTGAGGGCTCGCAGCTCCTACGCTGTTTTACCACCCAAGGCTGCCTCCTGTTTTTGTTTTTTGTTGTTGTTGTTGTTTTTTCAAATTAATTAACTTTTTTATTTAAGAGAAGGAGATGGAAGGGGGGAGGGAGGGAGGGGGAGGGGCAGGAAGGCAGAGGGCCAGGAGCAGGTACCTCCTTTAGACTCAAAGTTGGGGATGCCGTGCATGATCACGTGGTGCAGAAACAAGGGCTTGTTGTTCATTTTGATGGCGCCGGAGAGCAGACCGCTGAAATAGTGCACATACCTGCAGCCGGGAGAGGGCGGCTTCAGGCAGAGGCCAGGGCTGCTGCTCAACCAGCCTGCTCTTTCCTCCAGGAACGCTGCCCTAGGCCGCCCCCACCTCCTCCTGGTCCCTGCCCCAGCACAGGCATGCCACCCTGGCTGCTGGGAGCCCATGGTATTGGCCGGCCCTGCAGCTTGGGCAAGGCAAACATCCCACTTAGCGATCTCCAGCGCCCCCTGGTGGAGAGCATGGACACCTCTCTCAGCGTCAGCCCAGAATCGCCCACCGGACCAAAATTCCTCCCCACATCCCAGGCAGGCTTCAGTTAGCTGCTCACTGCTGCAAGAGGCAAACTGCCCAACCATGAGGCTGCTCACACCCTCAACACCGAGCCCAAAGCACGCCAACACCTACATCCACAGCCCACCTTCTACGCCCGCCAGACCCAACAACTATGTAACAGTCCAGCAAAAAGAGTTTACTAATTACAGTTCTGTATTCTCTTCATGGTGTGCTACAGTGTATAACATCCCTGTATGGCAGTGACTTCGCTGGGCACTTGAGATACCTAATTCCCAGTAAGTGTCCCCATCTCTAGGGTCAAGAGCACACAATTCTTTTTAAGATCTGATAGGAAGAAAGAGCAACACCTCCTGTCCCCGAGGGAAACTGAGAGCCAGAAAGGGCCACACAGGCTTTCCAAAGCCACATAGGAAGAACACACGAAGCTGGGAGCGAGAGGGCAGGGAGGGGCTGAAGGCTGGGCTTAGGCAGTCCTTTTGCCCTTGATGGGGCAGCACTTCCAGCTGGAGACACCAGGCTCAGTGGCCAATCAGAAGGCATCCTGAGACTACACAGGAGCCAATAGGAGCTTGCTCTCTCTCGGGAGGGTGGGACCAGGACCACTGATCACAGCCACACTCTCCTCCTGTCCCTGGGCTCCCTGGACCCCCTCCAGGCCTGTGAGCCGCTGTCACTGAGCCTGGATGGGGCCCCCTCCAACAACCCAAGCCAGGATGTGTCTTGTGCTGGGGACAATGAGTGCGGGGGGGGGGGGACAATGAATGCGGGAGCTGCAGGTAAAGCCCCTCCCCCTTCCCTCCCAGCCTCCACTCCTGGGCCTGCTCCATTCCCTGCAAGCAACACTGACAAGAAGGCAGGAGAGCGGCAACCAGAGCGTAGGAAACCAGTTGACGTTCATATCCAGGCACAGAGGAACGGCCCACCCACAAGCACGTGCAGGGACAGATAGGCGCCGCCTGGCAGACACAGATAATGCACACGTGCACGCAGACACACGCCCACTGCACACTCTACGCACGCACTGAGCACCGTGGAATCCCTGAGTTCTTCTACTGAGAGCTACCAGCTTCAGAGACGAGACCACTGTCCCACCTTCTCCAAACCACACGGTGCCATCGTCACACATGCCCCCTGCTGGTGTCCCTTACCCTTCAGGGTGACCGAGACCAGCAGCCGTCCATGGGAAGCCAGGGACCGAGGCCCCAGGAAAGACCCTCAGTGCAAACAGCAGCTCCTGACCCCGAGGCCAGAAAAGCCAAGAGCACGCCCTCACCTCCGGGGCTTTGCACTTACCCTCTTCTTCCCTCTGTCCTGCCCTCAGCCCAGGGATGCTTCTTTCTGTCCACTCAGCCCTCCCTCCCATGCCCCTCCCATCAGTGTGAACCAGCCTCAGGCCCACCCAGTTGTCCACTCTCCAGAGCTCCATTGCCAGAGGTGTCCTTGATTTTGTACCATCCCCAAGTGGGTGCGGAGGGGGCACTGCCCTGGCCCAGGGGTCACTACTAGGCCTTCCTGTCCACTCCAGCTCCACCACTGCTCACCGAGGGCCCTGGCCACATCCCCTCCTCGTGCTCAGGCTCCTCGTCTGGAAAATGGGGACGCCCTCCACGGTCACTGGGAGCTCATCATCACCCCAGCTTGGGCTCAGAGTCACCTCCTGGCGCGCTGCACCCTGCACATCCATGCTCCCCTCCCCTACTCTCCGCACCACTCTGCTGTCTCTGCCCCAGCACTAAGTGCTCTCTGACGCCGCCTTCTCTGCATGGTTACCTGTGTCATGTCCGTCTCCCTCAGTGGCCCATCAGCTCCCTAAGAGGGGCCTGTGGCCTGTTCTACAGGGCTCAGTGCTCACAGCTAGAGAGCCTCAACCTTGCCACCTGCCTGGGCTACCCTGTGACTGTGTGCAGACCACGTGATTAAGATGTTTCAACTCTCCCAACAGCTGGGGCCTCTTTGCCCTGTGTCTGTGACTTCCCAGGGCAGGCAGCAGGGACACCGGCCTCTCAGATGCACCCCCGAACCCTTGCTCCTCCCAGCTGGCATCTGAACACAGCACAGCCATCCCACCCACTGTGAGTCCACAGCCCAGTCCCCACGCACAGTGAGCGCCTGGGCGGCAAGCCCCAGACACCCACCTTCTCTGGGATGGCTGACCAATGGGTACAATCTTGTCCTCGTAGAACCGCTTCATTGCAAACCGGTCCAGGGCCTGGTCGGCACTATGGGGAGAGACGGGAGGTGTGAGACGCCGACTCCACGTGCAAGAACATGTCCTGCTCCCCTAGACCTGCAGAGCCCTGCAGTCAGCGCTGCACCTAAACCACCCCGTGCTGGCAGGGCTGCAGGAAGAGAGTGATCCCGCACATCTGCATGGCCTGTGCCGGACCGTACTCAGCCCTGGCGGCTCTGCAGTGAGCCCATCCCAAGCCCAGCACTTAGCCCTGCGTCCTGAGGCGTGGGACTCCACCCCACGGACCTGGACCTCATTCCGCTCACCTATCAAATGGGGGCGATAACCACATTCTTCCTCAAAGGTTATCAGGGGGATGGAGCAGCCATAGAGGGCTGAGCCCCCACTTGCACACAGTAGGTGCACAGAAGGGCTCATGGTTGGGCAAAGATGTGGCTGGGCTGACTTTCTCCAAACAGTAAAACTACCCCACCCCACCCCCCATGAGCCTTCTGCAAGATGCTCCACCCACTCAGTGATCACCTTGAAACAAGACAGGTCGTGGCCCTCCCATGGCGATAGCTTCCATCACTCTTAGAATGAACTCCACGGGGCCTTAGCGCGGCCTCTGGGCCCCAGAGCTCGTCCTCCCTCCTCCCCTGCCCTCCCCCACCCAGCTCCCCGCACCCCTCCTGGGGCCTTTGTCCTTTCTCTGCTACAAGCCCCAACCCTGGACTCCTCACAACGGCTCCTGGCTCCTCCTCGAGGTCCCAGAGCCTCACCGCCCGCTGTTCTCCCCCAGCCCCGTGTCCTCGGCCACAAGCATCGCCACGTTTACTCCCTTCGTGTGCACGGGGGCAGAGGCTGGCACTTGTCTCTGTGTCTCCCGGCTCCTAGACCCCTGCCCGGCACAGGGGCGGCTCAGCGACCACCACTGAACAAATGGATGAATGGGCACCTGCCCCGCCCCTGCAGAACGGGATTCACCCGCTGCTTCCTTCCTGTCCTTGCTCCACAAGCCCTGGGCAGGAAGAGGGTCCTGCTGGCCAGAGACAGGGGACGGAGCACAGAACTTCCAGATGGGCTTGGTGGGCCTGGACTGACCCAACCCTTCTTACTGACTCCCTCCCTGTTTACCCAGGGAGACAGAAGGCAGTTGGGCAAGGGCGAGTGGCCCACTGAAGCCGCCCCCTGCGGGCAGGAGGGTGGACTCTGCTCTCTGCTGCACTCTGTCCCCCTCAGAGCCAGGCACAGGCCCCTCCTCTTCCGGGGAATCCAGCACCTCACCGTCCTTATCACCCCGATGCACTCTGTCCTCACCCTGCGGCCCCGTGGGGTAGGGCGGTGCTCCGAGGCCGGGCGGCTCCGGCCCTCTTACCTGGCAGAGATGTTGCTGTAGTGCATGTAAGCGGCGATGACAACGCCTATCCTGCCCCGGTTCCCCTGCAAGAGCCCCAGACACAGAAGCCTTTAATGGTGAGGTCGCATCTATGGCCCCAGAGCCTAGGCGCAGAGGGCAGGGGCTGCAGAGGGGCGTGAGGCTGGGAGGGAGCACAGGGCAGGGGCGGAGTCTCAGAGAAAACAGCTGATCCGGGGCTGCTGGGGACACAAGCCCCAGAACCAGCTCTCGGGGGTGCCTGCAGGAACAGAAGCTATTGCCCTCTGCAAAGAACACACACAGACTTGTGCACCGACACAATCCAAAGATTCTGGCTAGACACACTTCTCCGAGGATGCACTTAGGCATGTGTGCATAAACACACAACACACACGCACACACACACACACGTGTCCACACACAGGCACACACGGCACCTATACATGCATGCAGGTACACATATGCACATACAAGCCTGCAATGCATGCACACATGTGAACACACACGTGTGCACGCACACCCACACACTGCCCAGACCTTGTTGTGCAGAACGACGACGTTGTGGGGGTCTGCGGTGAGCCAGGTGTCCATGGCCTTGCAGACGCTGCAGATCTTCTCCAGGGCTGGGGTGTGCAGGTCAGGCCAGCCAAATTCCAGTACCTGTGGCCCAAGCCATGAATGAGCAGAGCAAGCCCTGGGAGCCAAGCGGGCCCACGGGTACCGGGACTGGGAGAGCAGTACCAGCAGCAGGCCCCCGTCAGCCGCACTGGGAGGTAAAGGCCACCAGCCAGGACTACAGAGCCTGGGCCTGGGGCTCAGCTCTGCACTGACTCTGCAGGGCCTTGGGCAAGCCACACCCCTCTCCAGCCTGCTTCCTTCTCTGCATGTAAAATAAAGGCGTGGAAACAATCAGCCCAAGGTGCACAGGACTCGGACCTTAAAATGTCCCAAGGAGCCCTGAGCAACAGCCCTCGAGCTCTGGAGCCTAGGACTCCCTCAGGTTCCCCCGTGGTTCCCAGCTCATTCCCAGACCCTGGAAGTGCAAAAACGAAGCTGGCTCAGAGAAGCCTGCTGAGCTTTGGAGTAAGAGAGAACCACCTTGGCCGGCGCCGCAGCTCAATAGGCTAATCCTCCGCCTAGCGGCGCCAGCACACCGGGTTCTAGTCCCGGTCGGGGCGCCGGATTCTCTCCTGGTTGCCCCTCTTCCAGGCCAGCTCTCTGCTGTGGCCCGGAAGTGCAGTGGAGGATGGCCCAAGTGCTTGGGCCCTGCACCCCATGGGAGACCAGGAGAAGCATCTGGCTCCTGCCAGATCAGTGCGGCGGCCATTGGAGGGTGAACCAACGGCAAAAAGGAAGACCTTTCTCTCTGTCTGTCTCTCTCTCTCTCTCACTATCCACTCTGCCTGTAAAAAAAAAGGGGGGGGGGAGAGAGAGAACCACCTAATACAGCCACATCACTTACAGGCACACACGGAGGCCCACAGAGGTCTGTGGCCTGCCCAGGGACCAGAATCCAAGAGCTGGGAGCCAACATCCACAACACAGTCCCCGACACAAACCCACGAGCAAACAAAGTAAAACTGGTGGCAGGGACGCCCAAAGCAGCGTTTGAAATCCAGAAAGCACAACTCGGGCATGACGGCGTCCCCCTGGGTGCCACGTGCTCCCCAGGGCAGCCTCAGGCAGGAAGTCAGCTTCTGTGACCCGCCTCCCAGACATGCGTCACACACAGGGCTCTCTGCCTGCTACAAGAAGACCCTCCAACTTGCAAGGGCCATGCAGATGGCCATTGTGCCGTGCCCGAGACAGATGTGGGGACCTCAGGGCGGGTCCTCATATCATCCATGCGGGGAGATAACCCCCCGCCCCACCCCAAAACAACTATAGGTTCACCTTGGCGTGGAGCTTGGTGATGTCCGGTCTCCGCTCCGAGAGGTTGAACAGCTGGAGGGAGAGACAGGATGAGACCATGAGCAGGGGCACAGAGAAGCCCGGCAAGGAAGCCACCGGTCACACTGGGGACATGACCGACAGCAGTGCCTTCTCTAGTCCCCTCTAAATATCCACGGTCCCAGGGCTGGCGCTCCACCTTCAGTGCCAGCATCCCATAGGAGCGCCTGTTCATGTCCCGGCTGCTCCTCTTCCAACCCAGCTCTCTGCTATGGCCTGGAAAAGCAGTAGAAGATGGCCCAAGTGCTTGGGCCCCTGCACCTGCATGGGAGACCCAGAAGCAGCTCCTGGCTCCTGGCTTCAGATTGACCCAGCTCCAGACGTTATGGTCATTTGAAGAGTGAACCAGCGGATGGAAGATCCCTCTCTTTCTGTCTCTCCCTCTCTCTGTCTGTAACTCTCCCTCTCAAATAAATAAATAAACCTTTAAAAAAATTAAAAAAGAGAGAGATCCATGGCCCAGGCAGGTAGAGTGTCACTGTTCTCACAGCCAGGGGCCCGGGCCCCAGGGCAGCCTACCCGCATTGCCTGTGCTCACTGTTGCCTCTCTCCCACTCCCCTGGTGGAAACAGGAACCCCACAGCAGCCTGTCCGGGAAGAAGGGGGCAGAGTAGCACACAGACGCTCGGCCTCTGCCCCAGGGGCCCACGTCCTGAGCTGAGGCAGGCAGGGTGGGAGGGAGGGAGGGAGTCCAGGGGTGGTGCGCGGTGGCACTTGGCCATCCCTGGCCACCAGCTCGCAGGCTGACTTGAGACCCTTGTCCATGAAATGTAGCATCTCTACTGTCAGACTCCCCCCCACCCAACCAGAGCGGGCCAACTGTTCTGGGTGGGGCCCCTCCGACCCTCGATCCCATAGGTACCCCCCACCCTGTGTCTGTGACTCCCACTGCACCCCACTGCCTGGGTGGACACTCAAAGGCCACTGCATGGTCTCCTGGGGAGAAAAGAGGACAGCAGAATCTTGCAGGGACAGGGTGGAGAGAGCCATCCCGACACCAGGAAGGCTCAGAGATGGCTTCCAGGTCACTCGTGTGACATAAAGGAGCATCCTGTTGACCACAGCTGCCACTCAGCAAGATTCCACCGCAGCCAGGACCTGGGCTGAGGACCTTATGTCTAATGTGGGCCTCATTCCCTCAACAACCACAGGGTACCTGGGGCCATCAGACCCATTTTACAGATGGGGAACACAAGGTTTGGGGAAGTGAAGTGGCCCAGAGGCAGAATCTAAACCCAGGACTTCCTGAGTACCAATGCTCCCGCACAGAGACAGGCAGGCCTCCAAGGGGGCTGCGTAATGTTCCCCCAGGGGTGCACGTGCCCTCAGAACTTCAGAATGCGGCCCCTTTTAGAAATAGGGATGGAACGGGACAGAGGTTTGACTGCTGCTGTCTTAATTGACGGGTGACAGAGCTCACTCTACTGATGGCATCTGAGAAGTGGGCCTGGTGGGAGGGGTTCAGGTCACTGGGGGTGTGCTCCCCGGGAGGGGGCTCCCACAAGAAGGCTGATTATCGGAGCTCCAGCTCTGACCTGCTGTTGTCTCTCTGTGCTTCCTGGCTCACCACATGACCGCCCCTGCACACCCTGGTGACCAGGCCCCAGCAGACGTCACGTGACCGCCCCTGCACACCCACGGTGACCAGCCCCCAGCAGACGTCACGTGACCACCCCTGCACATCCCCGGTGACCAGCCCCCAGCAGATGTCACGTGACCGCCCCTGCACACCCCCGGTGACGAGCCCCAGCAGACCTCACACTACGGAGCCGCCCCATCCTGATCTGTGATCTCCAGACTCTGAGATGGTGTCAACCCGTTCTTTCCCAAGAAGCTCCCCTCAGCTATCCTCATTCAACAACGAAAAGCAAATGAAGAGGCTGATGCGAGCAGTTAAGGATCTCGGTTTGAGGACCCCCCAGATGGAGGACGGGCCTGAGTCCACTGGCTGGTGGCTCCCTAACACGAGGAGGGGCGCAGAGAACCAGGCGGAGGGAAGGCTGTGGAATGACGGAAGCAGGGGTGGGAGGGACAAAGCTGTAAGCCATGGGATGCAAAGGGTTGCCGGGAGACACCAGCAGCAGGAAGAGCAAGGTAGGATTCCCTCCCCCAGGAGCCAGAACTGTGAGAGAACCCACTCCTGTTGCTCGAGGCCACCAAGCGTGTGGTCATTAGTTAGAGCATACCCAGGAAGTCACTGCAGCTGGGGCCAGCCCACGTGGGCCTCCCTGCACGATGGACCGGAGCCTTCCTCTGGGCTAGGAACAGGTCAGCCTTCCTCCACTGGAGAAAACCACTATCGCCTGGCACCTCACCTACATGTTGGACAAGCCCTCTGTGCCAGCAACACAGGGCCCCAAAGACACACGTGGCCATGACTCCATCCTGAGACCTCCCAGAGGTCAACTCCAGCCCTTTCCAACCTGTGACTTCCGGCTGTTAACCTACCTCCCCACCCCCACCCCCACGGCCTTGCCCTAACAAGTGCTTGCTTCCCACAGCTGTCGCGAAGGCTGAACTATGTGCATGGCAGTTTAACAGAGCTGGGCTCACAGAAAACTCTAACACGAGCTTCTGTTAATCTCTTCTCCTGGTACACGCCTCTCTCTCTCTCTCTCTCTCTCTCTCTCTCTCTCTCTCTCTCTCCCGGATCCTTAGAACTGAGCTGGGCTGGAGAGAAAGTGAAGGAAGGAGACCCCAGGGCTGAGCAAAGCAAGCGGTTGCAAGGACGCAGGAGCAGGTGCAAGGCCACCTGCGGCCAACAGGTGACGAGCGGGTGGAAGGCCAGAGCGGCCGGGGCCCCATCCTCACCAGATAGTTGCCTCCATGCTTGGACTTGAGCATCTGAGCCACTTCCCGGAGATTGCTCCGGAAGTTCTCCTCGTTGGCCGTGCTGGGGAAGGACACGGCGATGATCCTCTCCGTGACGTACACCAGGTCCAGCTCACAGTCGTCCTCCATGGTCCGGCCCACGCTCATGTTTCTAAGGAGACAGTGGGCAGTGGGGTGTCCGGATCAGAACCTGCCCCCCAGGGCAAGTCCCCAGATAGCTGCACCTGCCAACACAACCTGCCTGACCCCGCAGCCAGCCCGGGTCAAGGCCGGGGCAGCCAGATGGGGCAGAGGCTGGTGAGGACCTTGGATGGCTTCAAGGATGCCAACTCTAATGTTCCCAGCAACTGTAGGTTCCCAGCAGTCCTGGCCTGGCCCTGTGATTCCAGAAGTCAGAGCCAGGGCCAGACAGTCCAGGAGCCTCGGTGCTCGCCCTGCCTGCTCTCACCCTGTGGCTGCCTGGCCAGAGGGAGGGTGGCAGGTGTCCGGGAGGATCCAAGGACTCTCTCGGGAAGAGGAAGGGGAGCCTGGTCGGGTGCTCTCCAGCATCCAGGAGCTGAGCCTTCTGCTGCTTCCCCAACACCAGAGCTGTGCACTGAGTGAGAGGCCTCTTGGGGGGAGGAAGGGGGCGGCTCAGGTGACCCGCTCACCTGGGCTCCAGGTAAGCAGACCACGAGGCACATTCCTGCCCTCCCAGGAGGCAGGCAGAGCGGCTGCTGCCCTTTGTGCCCTGGCTCCCTCCCTGCCTCCAGCAGCTCCCACCACCTGCCAGGGCTACTTCTTGGCCTTGCTGAGGTCTAACGACCCAGGAAACAAGACGGCACAGGGTCTTGGCCGCCACCATGGCGGGGTGGCCCCCGGAGCCATGTGTCACCTGCAGAGATGGGAGCCCCCTGGGCTGGGGGAAGGAGAGAGAGGAGCTCACATCTCTGTACCTCTCCCAGCTATACTTGCAGGGGCAGGGTCCAGAAGGCCCTGGGCAGCCCGCCTGTCACTTCCAGGAGCATCTCTAACCCCCCTCAGCCCCACATGTCCCTTCCCACACCTTGCTTCCCCGCTATCCACGGGGGCACGACCGTGGCCTCGTTTCACTCACCCTTCCCCGCAGCAGGGTAAACTGAGACTGCAGAGGCAGTGGGAAGAACACCCACGCCCAGAGTATGTAAAGGCGGGGAGGCCTCACTGGCACTGGGGAGACCGAGCCCCCTGCCATCGGGCAGCTAGAAGAATCCAGATCTCCAGCAGGCCTACTCTGAGCCTATCTGTCTAGCTAGATGCGGCATGAAGATGCAGCAGCCAAGGACGCAGTGCGGCTTTTCTGGCTTGGGGTGCAGGGACGGAGAATCAGTGCCCAGCCCCGGCCACTCAGGCGGCGACAGCCTACCCAGGGACAGTTCTGTAGGTGGCAGGCAGTCTGGGACAAGAAACCAAAGACAACCCTCATAGAAAATGGGTTTGGGGCAGGGAGCCTCAGCTAACGTGGACCATCCCCCAACCCCACCCTCCAACAGCCCTCTGGTCCTCGCACCAAGACTGTGAGAGAAAGGCAAGCAAGCAGCACTCGCACAGTTCCATGGGAGTGCATAGGACAAGGCAGTGACAGGCATGAGTCAGGAGGAGCCCATCCCAGGCACCCACCTGCCCTCCTGGGGCTGATTCCCAAACAGGCAGACCAGCGCCACCAGCTGGACAATTTCGGTGTTACACTCTGCACCCCTCCACCCCACCAAACTGTTCTCTGCTTTAGGGGAAGGCAGGTTCATCTCAAGGGCCACCTCCGGCCTGTGGGCAGCTGGTGCCAGCTGGTCCTGAATTCTAGCCCAATTCTTGGTGGCTGCTTGTGTACCTCTCACAAGTCATCTTCTCCACAACGCAGTGCTCTGTCTACCATCAAATGCTGGTCTGGCTGGGAGTTCAAACTCCAAACACAACTGCTACCAAGTGGCATCTGTCTCTCTCTCTGTGACTTTGTGGCTTCATTCTTGGGGACCCAGAGGCAAGACTTGACAGGAACATCCATAGCACCCCACAGCCTGCACCCTCACCCTTTGCCCCCATGTGCCAGACATACCTGCTGGGCCGGGGATGGGGCTGGACACTTGGAGTGACTCTGCTGGAGCCCTGAGAGAGAGTGAGAGAGAGAGAGGCAGTGTTACTGGGAGGGCCAGCAGAGCAGCAGAGAGCTGTCCACGGGAGCACCCAGGGCCATGGCCAAACACAGATTGTCTGCTGCTTTCTCTGCCAACATTCCAGCCCCACCACCCTAGCACCTCAGCTGCCTGAAGCCAAAAACAACCACTGCCAATTCCACGTGAGCCTGCCCGCCTGCAGGCAGCCCCAGAGGGACAGAAGGAAGAAAGCCAGGACCCAGCAAGGCGCCCCACCTGCTGGTGTCACCTACACTGAGGACCCGCCATGGGGACACCACCCCCCGTGGACAAGCAGGGGAGAAGCAGACCATGCGGGAGAGAGGCCAGGGAGACCAGCGGGACGGTGCGAGCCTGGATCCCCGTCCCCAGCAGCTCTCGGTCAAAAGGCTCAAGACGAGAACCTCTAGGGATATCATATACAGAGACAAGGACTAAGGCAGGGAGCCCACTTCCAGAGTGTCTATCACCTGCTCCTGTCCCTGGGTGGTCGACTTGTGCAACATTAGGCCAAGGGACCCAAACACCCCAGCGCAGTGGGATGGAGCAGGGAGAACGCACAGGGTCCGAGTCCCTTGCTCCCCAGGGACTGGGTTCCAGGGTCCTTCTGCACTGCCTCGCAAGTGACTCAGCCCCTCGGAGCCACTTGTCCCACCCAGTGTCCAATGGGGTGACCCTCAGCGGCTTGCAGGGAGGATGCAGATCAACCGTGTGTAGGGAGCACTCTGCCCTCTGCCCGGCACTCAGTAACGACAGATGTAGTTGTGCTCACAGCCAAATGCTCACCCCATAGAACAGCAGAAGCCTGCATCCCTTCTACCAGCCACCTCTGCAGCACCTCGCAGGGTGCAAAATCGACACCCAGTCCAGCCTGGGCCCTCTGCGCCCACCGACACCTTCCAAACACCCGTGTGCCCCCCAGGAACCAACCCATCCCAACCACCAGGTCTCGGCCACCTCTGGAGAGGACCAGACCACAGTGAGCCAAGGAGGGGAGAAACTGGGGCTCAAGATGACTCACCCCCAAGTCCCTCTGGAGAGCTGACAACCAAGCAGGACTCACACTCTGACTTGGCGCTTGATCCCCGGGCCCCCAAGAAGAAGATGAACCCTCGTCAGTCCCCTCCTGGCTCCAGGGGTTCTATGAGGAGGGGCGCGCAGGTGGGCTCTGAGCCCTGCTCCCACCTGCAGCTGCGGTCAGAGCCCCTTGCCGGGGGAGGACTCTCCATGCAGCCGTCCCGGGAGGGAGAAGGTGGTGTGGCCGGCGGCCCCTGTGCCCGGGCTGCCTCTGCACTCTGAGCAGCTCAGCAGCGGGAGGAGGAAGGAGCCAAGTGGGGCTGCCGGGCGGGAGAGCCTCCCAGCTCCTCGGGGGGCCCCCACAGGCTGGGGTTTGCATGAGTCAGGCGGGGCGGGGAGGGGGTCAGGAGGCCTGTGCCAACACCACCCGCCCAGAGGCACGCAGACGCACCCCATCCATCTCCCTGGGCTGCTCTCTGACGAGGAGGCACTGACTCGCCCCAGGCTGTGGGCCCTGCTCCAAGGCCCGGGGCCACCCTGCTATAAATACCCGCTGGGGCTTCATCTGCTGATCCACAGCCACTTGTGGAGGAAGCCGCCACAGCTGCTTCGAACAACTGGAAGCTGCCGCGTAGCCAGCCAAGCCCGAGGTGCAGCCACGCACCACGGGTCCCAGGCCCTGGGAGGGTGCGGGCAGCAGGGGGTGGGGGGGGGACCCGGCTCAGCAGGGGATCTGGGGAGCCCAGGGCTGCTGGTAGGTGCAGCAGGCAGAGCAGGAGACCTGGCTGCCTTCTCTCCACCACCGCCCCCCTGCAAACGTTACAACATTCTGCATTCCTCAGCCTCCCCACCCCCAAAAAAAGCCAGGGAAGATAAATAAGAAACTTGGCCCCAATACAGGCTGCCCACTGCTGCCTCCAGTGGGGAGAAGGCAAAGTCCAAGACCGCTCGGGTGCCCCCTGCTGGCCGCAAAGGGGAAGCTGCCCTGGACAGCGACCCCTCTGTGGCAGCCGGCAGCTGGAGTGTCATCCCCACACCCCGCCCCTACCCCCCACCCCCGTGAATCACTGCGCGGCTGCCCTGGCCCTGAAGGGCTTCCTGTTTTCCGTCCAGCGCAGGGGCGTGTGACCGTGCTGGCAGAGTGCAGATGACAGGACACACAGGAGCACAGGGCGAGGACCCAGAGCCGGGGGGGAGGGGTGCGTGGGAGCCGACACACCCACCCATAAAACACAGGGGGCCTCCCCCACCCCACCCCACGCCTCAGGAGGCTTCGAAGGAAAGGTGTGGGAGCGAGTCGAGGGTGCGGGCATCCCCGGCGCACGGCCGCCACCACCGTCACTCCTCCACGTTGGAGGCACAGGGGAGCCTAGCAGGGGAAGTCCCTGACCTCAGACGGCTTCTACTGCACAGACTCTCGTCGACAGACCTAGTGGGAGAAGAGGCGTCTCGGCCTCCTGTTCCCATCTGTGAAATGGGTATAGCACAGTGCTCACAACACTTCCTGCCTACGCCACTTGGAGCCCCTGGGAAAAAATGGCTAGAGGACTTTACAAACTACTTTTAAGAGAAAAATAAGCTCTCTGCCTGCCTTTAAACCCATTCTTTCGCTCTCTGGGGATATGTCAGAGCCCTTTCACCCCATGACTCTGAACTTCTCCTAGCTCCTCCCAAAACATGGGCCAAGAATAGAACTTCTGATACAGCTCCCCAGGCACCAAACAGGACCCTCCCCGGTCCTCATCACCAGCACACACTGACAGGATGGCACGAAAGGAAAGTCCACAGCTTCCAACAAACAAACGTCTTCACTTTGCTCCCTGCCAGGAAGTCCCTCCTGCTATCTAACCCTCATCCTTCCTGCTGCAGTTTCAGCCAACTGCTTTGGCCCAGGTTCCCCCTACAGGTGGGAGCTGATCGTCACTCAGACTCTGTCCTGTTTGCTACCTCCTGGCCCACCCTTGCAGCTTCAGCGGGAACCCTGGGCCTTGGGTGGGATCTGAACCCAGCAATGCCGCTGCAGGAAGAGTTCTGGTTGCTTTGAGGTCCAGAGACCAAACACAACCGTGCTGACCAAAAGAAAAGCCATTTCCTGAGCCCAAGTCCCCGGGGAACAGAGCTGGGAGTGGGGTGTGGAAGGAAACACCAGGCAGCCAGACGCTGGCCACCGACCCACGTCAGGGGCCCGTCCCCATTCCTTCATCTCCTCTGGGGGCTGTGGCCACCCTCCCCAACCCTCTACAACCACACCCCTTCCTCTCCCCTTCCTGCCCACCAGCCTGGATTTTTCCAAAACAAAGTGCGCCCCAGCGCACTGTCCACAAACTCGTCTACACACCAAGTCGGCCGGAGGGAAACAGCCACTCCTGCCCTGTGAGTCTCGGGCCTCGGGCCAGAGCCGGGGAAACAGCTCCACAAACAAGCGCAGGGCAAGCAGCAGGCCGGGGAGAAGTGCAGGGCTTCCAAAGCAGGTTGCTCTCCCCCCCCGCCGCCCCGCCGGGTCTTCCCTCGCCCCTGCAGTACAGGGGACTTGGAGGAATCTGCTCACTTTATGGACTCCTCTAACCAGAACTGGACCAAAACTCACCTTGTCCTGCCTCCCATATGCAGACCACACACACACACACACACACACACACACCGATCACAACCAAATGCCTCCACTTGCTCCCCAGGAGCAAGATCGTACACACTCTCACAGCTGACAGTCCTCCGTGATGTCTAACTTCCCTCTCTCCTGCTGCAGCTCTAACTCACAGGATCCGTCTGGCCCAGGCTGGGGAGGCAGGGGGATGCAGCCGCCCCAGGATGTGGCTTCTGAGCATGCCCAGACTGTGGGCTAAAAGGCTTGGCTCATGGGCTACCACCTGTCCCTGGGGCCAAGGGCTGGGGGTCCTGGGTGACCCCAGACCCAAGCAGCAGTCCCAAAAGGGACTTTGGTCATTGAAAAACTCCAAGGCTCCTTGTCTATGAAGTGGGGTCACAGCATCTGCCATCAGGGGTGTCATGAGAATCTAAAAACACCCAGCCTAGCCCCCGTAACAGGACCAAGAGGAGCTAAACTTCACGGAACACGTAGTATACACTTCGTGTGCCCAGAGCTGGCTCACCCTGCGGCAGCAAGCACACGTGCAAAGTTAAGTTTCTCCCTGCACGCAGCCCCGGGCACATCACAGACCTGCACACGGCCCCCTGCCCAGTGCATGGACTCGGTGCCCATGGGAACCCACACCTACCTTGAAGAGGCCCTTCCTCCCCAGTTTGAGGGGCATACTCCTCGCAGGCCTGCAGGCCACCTCCGCTCTGTAGGGCTGGCTGTGCCAGGGGCCCCAGGGCGGCGCAGCCGTGGGGCAGGGGGTGTGCCCCCCCCGGCACCTCCCTCCAGGGCCCTCCCACCGCCATGGGTCAGGCAGCTGTCAGATGATAGGGCCTCGTGCCACCCACAGCTCCCCCTGTGCCAACCGCCAAAACCACTCCCTGCTCCTCCGCAGGCCCCAGGGTGAGGCTGGAGGGGCCAGCTCAGGGGCACAGTCACGGGGGGCCGGGGGCCACCAGTAAAGCCCACCTTGCTGGGGTGCAGTCAACCCAGCACACGTGTGCACACACACACGGCTCAGAGTGGCACAGGCACCCCAGTCTGGTCCTTCCGTCCAAGGAGCCTGTCCCTTGGCAGCCCCCAGCCCACCACCACCGCAAACTCAAGGAGCCTGGGGGCACCAGCTTCCTCCAGAGCCCATGGACTTGAGGCCACAGAGAGGATTCTGCCCTTTCCCAGGCTGCCCCGAAGCCCAGCTCCACTACCACGCAGGTCTGAGACGGTGTCCACCTCCCGCTAGGCCCCGGCCCTCTCCCCAATGCCACGCGTGCTTACGTCCTCAACACTTTTCTGCACGTTTCCACCCCAGGAGGCTCCTTCCCCCTGTAGACAGAGACAGACAGTCAGGCAAACACCCACAGGGCACCAGGGCTTCCACCCAGGGCTGCAGAGCGAGGGGGTGGCGGGTGGAAAGGCCAAGGAGGGGGCTCCAGTGTTTAACGTTTGTCTACTAAGGGCCCCCCCAGAGCCAGCCAAACCCCTTGATTTGCATTCCAAGATCACTCCTCTGGCAGACACTATTATTCCCATTTTGCAGGTAATAAAACTGAGGCACAGGTAGGACTACACCTCACCTGTAGCCAGACAATTAGAAACCTGGCAGAGTCAGGATCCGAACCCAAGACCTCTGCCTCCAAGCTCACAATTTCCTGCTGGCCAGGATGTGTTTCTCGGAGGGTGGCCTCGGTTTCCCCCTGAAGCCCCAAATCTCTCCCAGCCCCCAGCATTCCTCCCCTTCTCTACACAGCCTTGAGAAAACTGTCTCTCTACTAAGTCAGAAAGACCCCCTTGGATGGCTCTGCCTGCTCTCATGTTCTACATATTTAATAAAGAGGCCCACATTCAACCCTGAGCTCGCTCGCTCGCTCGCTCTCTCTCTCTCCACCTGCCTGGTGCCTCAGCAGCCCACTGCAGAGCACATGGGCACGGACGGATGCCCAGCCCCCAGAGCCACCAGCACCCACCACGACTTCCCCCCAGTGCCCCAAATCAACTCCAGAAGTTTGTCCCCAACCACATCTCACATCCTCCACGTCCCCGCCCTCCGTTTCCAGCTCCTTCCCCCCGGCCCAGGCTGTCACTCACCGTGTCCACTACATTCTTCGGAGCACTGTCAGTGGTGAAGGGCTGTGGAGAGAGAAAACAGGCAGAGGCCTCAGGACAGTGGCCCCCGGGGGGCGGGGGGGCCGCAAAGGACCCAGAATTCCGAGACAGGAACAGCGACGCCAACCCAGGATTCGGTCCCAACTTGGCTTTGCAGAAGGAAACAGAATCCCACCGGGAACGGAGCCCGCCTCCAGGCCCTGGGCCGCCTGCCCCCAGCACCCGGGCCTCGTGCCCGGCGCTGCGCCCGGTGAGCTGCACCTTTGCACTGTCGCAGCCTCACCTCACCCACTCCACCGAGGATCCAGGCTGCAGGTCTCGGCACTGCTTTGTCGCTTTATAGGTGTGAGCAGTTAAGGGAACAATCCCACGCTGTCACAGGGACAGCAGGATGGGACCCCCGTGCTGGGCCCTACCCTTCACACCCCTTGTGTAACAGCCCTGCGGCCGGGGAGCGGGAGCCTTCCAGGTGCCCCTTCCGGCGAGGCACCCCTTGTCCTAGCACAGCTCATTTCATGCACACAAGCTCCGTCCCTGCACCCATGGCCCCTGGACACCCCCACGCATTCCCACATCCTGGTCTTCCCCTCTCTTCCTCCCTGGACGACTCTCCCCCTCCATGAAGCCCTCCCTAACCACCTCGGCAGATGGAGATCCCTCTCCCACTTCTGAATGCCAGCCAGTATCCCTGTCTGTGCCACTCATTTAATTTGCGGGTGAATAACCTCATCATGGGAGTGTATGCCTCATCTTCCCAACTGCTGTTTTAACAGAGATCTTCAACAAGTTCAGGGAAAATGCATGTTATCTTAAAAAAAAAAATAGCTGTTGGTGGGGTGGGGCAGCGCTGTGGCACAGCTGGTTAAGCTGTCGCCTGCAATGCCAGCATCCCAGATAGGCTCCCTGCTAATGCCCCTGGGAAAGCAGCGGAAGATGGTCCAAGTGCTTGGGCCCTGCACCCGCGTGGGAGACCTGAGTGCAGTTTCAGGCTCCGGGCTTCAGCCTGGCCCAGCAGCTATCTGGGAAGCAAACCAGCAGATGGAAGACCTCTCTTTGTCTCTCCCTCTCTCTCTTTGTTAACACTGCCTTTCAAATAAATAGATAAATCTTTTTAAAAATTTGTTTTGGTTATTTCGGAGACATAAAGAGAGAAGCTAGCCCTCATCCATTGGTTTACACCCTCAATGCCTGCAACGGCCAGGCCAACGCTAGGAGCTAAGAACTCAATCCAGGTCTCCCACATGGCGACAGGAACCACATTACTGAAGCCATCACCACTGCCTCCCAGGGTCCCCACTGGCATGAAGCCAGAGTCAGGAGCGAGAGCCAGGCAGCAAACTCAGACACTCCAATGTAGGGCATGGGGACATCTTACCCCCTTCCCTGGAAGCTTAACCACTTGGCTAAACACTCATCCCCACAACATCTTAATCCCGCTGTCCATGAACTTGTTGAGGTCCCATCATATTGAAAACGTTCATCCCTCCTGCATCCAGAGTAAGACTCAAAGCCACATTATTGCAAAGTCAATGGAAAGTTCCCTTACAGCCAGGGCTAGGACTTACGCACAGTAGGCCATCAACAAGTCCCCGGGGCCTGACCCCGCCCCTCACTCTGCCCACACCACCAGGAGGGCTTCCTATGAGTGGCATCCTGAGAACAGGGGATCCCTAGGTCCCCGGAACAGGAAGGAAAACCTCCTCTCCCGGGGCCACCTCCAGCCACAGCCTCCAGGGCTGCACCTGCCACTCAGCGGAGTGACCGTGGGGCCCTTGATGGACACAGAAGGACCTGAGCACGACTGGAGGGCTGAGAAAGCCACCTTTGCAAAGACACACGTGGACTGGGTCGGAGGAGGTCTCACAGGAGCAAACCCCAGCCCCAACAGAGGGGCAGCTGCCCATGTCCAGAGGACCAGGGGGCTGAGATGGGGCTGGAGGAAGGAAGCCGGCTGGATGGAAGACAGCAGTGATGTCTCTGGAAATGGCCCAGGACGCCTGCCCCTACTGCCTGGAAGCCAGGTCGAGGACTTCCTGAGCCGCTCAGGGCCTAGGCAGGAGGACAGGGTCCGGGAACAGGTGGTTGGGGGAGGCACGGAGCCCCAAGCACACTGTCCTCTCTGCAGGCACCAGGAGTCAGAGGTGGCTGTGAGGGAGGAGCAATGATGTGGCATTCTGTCCTTCCCAGCTCAGCCCTGACCCTCACCCTCAACCCCACTCACCGCACAGAGTCCCTGCTCCTGAGCCGTGCTCCCTGGGTAGCACGTCCATGAGCCCACTGGGAGGTGCCGGGGGTCCCTGCCCCAGGCAAGGAGCATGCCCGGTGCACCTGCTCCGCAGCTGCCTACTAATCCCACAGGGACACCTGGGGTGGGGCAGTGCACCTGCCTCCTCTCTGAGTTCCGGGCGGTGCTCACAGGTCCCTTCCACGTGCAGAGTCCACCTGGTGAAGGAGCCAAGGCCAGAGCTCCAGGCCCAACCCCACCCTTGGCCACGAGGCTGCACAGGAGCCCCCAAGAGCCCTCCTCCTCCTCCTCCTCCTCCCCCTCCTCTGGATCAGGACTCCAACAAGCCCAGTGGTCAGCGGAGTGTCTCAGCCTGGAGACCATGTGCTGGTCTCAGTCCACCCCCGAGCTTCTAAGTCCCTCAGACCCGTGGTGGGGCTGAGGACGTGCGTTTCTAACAGGGCCCCCCCTGCCTCTGGGCTGCAGGCCTGGGCAGCAAACCCACTCTCTGCTGCTAGCACGGCCATGCAACCTCGAGCAGGTCACCACGTCCTCGCTGCACTGCCAGAGGAATGCAGGGAGCCCAAGCAAAAAAAAAAAAGCACCAGGGCACCTGGAGCAGCAGGGGCAGTGTGGGCAGTGTGAGTTACCCTCCACCTCCACCCTCGGGCTAGCACTCCGCATGCCCCGCCCCCGGGGGCCCCAGGCCTCAGCAATGTGACAGCCGACAGCCACTCACTCTCCCTGCCAGCACCCTCCAGCAGCGAGCCCTCTGTGCCCCTTCCCCACGCCAGCTGGAGTCCAGCCGCAGTGACACTGGCCAGCGGTCAGATGCCCAGATGCTTTCTGAGGAGCCAAACACTCCCCGAGCCCGTCCAGACCGAAACCCCCCACGCTGCTGGGACACACAGCCTCGCATGCGTGCTGCCCCCCAGCCCACTTTGCCTGGAACTGAGTCCTGTTTGTTTCTCAATCGCGGTCAGTCCTGGGACTATGCGGAAGGAAAAAGTCTGGAAGCAGGAGGGCGGGGTCTCCCCGGCCCCAGGCCCTGCAGGGAGGTGGGGCCAGCAGCAGCTCCTGATCACCTGGGGCTGTGGCCTTCCTCACCCTGCCTTCAGCTACAAGCTCCTGTACACCCACACATGCACACACACGCACACACACAGTTCACCCCTTCCCCAGGGTTGTTTCAATATTTACCTATTTTTAATTGTGTCTCCTTGTACCCACGGCTCTCCAACTCTCTCTATTTTATTTACTTAGCTCATTTAGCGTCTGCCTCTGTCCCTGAAAGTTCAGAGCCAAGAACAGAGCCTGGCACACTGCAGGCCCTCAGGCACTCTGTGGGGTAAAGACACCGAGAGAGGACCCTCGCCACCCACCCCGGCACCTGCCCACGCTCCCCGGCACACCACAGCCAGCAGCCTCAGGGCCTCAGAGTCCAAGCCCTCGACCTCCACCTTTGCGTAGTTTTCTATCAGGGCTTTTCTACCACACACACACAGAGACAGACAGACACACACACACACACATATACATACACATATACACACACATACACATACATATAGACATGCACACACATACACACATATACACAGATACATGCATATACATAGACACACATAAGATACACTTACATATATAGACACACACATATACACAGCATACACACATATACACAGATACACGCACATAGACATAGACACACATACACACATATACACGCACATATACAGACACACACATATACACAGCATTCACACACATATACACAGCGCACACACATATAAAAACATGCACACATATACACAGATACATGCATATACACACAGATACACGCACATAGACATAGACACACAGATACACACATATACATAGACACACATACACACATATACACGCACATATACACACAAGCACAAAGACAGACACACATACAAACACACACAGGCACAGACACACAGAGACACACACAGACACAAATACACAGACACAAACACACACACAGAGACACACACAGCAACACACACACAGGCACAAACAGACACAGAGACACAGACACACACACAGCAACACAAACACACACACAGACACAGACAGGCAGAGACATACGCACAAATACACACACAGAGACATTCACACATACAAAGAGACACACATACAGACACAGAGACACAGACACAGAGACACAAACACACACAGACTCACATACATCCTTTGCACGCCACCCCTCAGAACATGAGCTCCGAGTGAGACCTGACACGTCCTGTCCTCCATGCCCCGTCTCACAGCCAGGGAAGCCGAGGTGCAGAGAGGGCCGACCTCAGGGTGAGGTCTGTGGCAGGGCTGGGGCTGGCTCCCAGGGTCGCGCAGCTCACTGTCAGGCTCATCTCCCAGCCAGCCTGCAGGCAACTGGGCTGTGAAGGACCAAGCAGAGCCTCCCCGGCCACACCCACCCCTGCCCAGCCCAAGGCCCCACCTGCAGGCTTTCCCCAGCGGGGGCAGCGACTCCCGGCCCCAGCAGGGCTCGCCCAGGCCCCACTACCTCAGGCAGACAGCAAGCTCTGCACCTGGCCCTGCTCGAAGGCCAAGCCCTGCCCTTTGTGGACCCCTGTGCTCCACCGTCCCAAACCTGGGCATCTATGGCGAGATGGGGACAGGGGTGAGGCGCTGGGGGCACAGAATCCAAGGAGGTGCCGCTCGTAGGTCCTGGAGTGCACCTGCAGAATCCGGGGAGCTCAGCCTTACAGATCCCACCCCACTAAGGGCCTTCCTTGCCTCCCTGACTCATGGCCCA